CTCGAGAACATCGTAGCGAACACGGTGCTACTCAAGGCCCGGGAAGGTGAGGCAGCCGGGCGGGCGGCAGGGCCCCGGGATCGCGTGCACACGGCCTCACAGCACAGGCAGGAGCCCCAGCCGCCGGATCTCCTAAGTCCTAAGGGCCGCGGGCCCCGCGCCCCGCGCCCCGAACCCCAGGCTGGCACGAGCCCTTCCGGCCCGTCGTCCTTCTCCTCCGCACCTGCCCCCGGGAGCTGGGGCCCAGAAAGGGGTGGGGGTCAGACCGCCGCCCTCGCTGCAATGGGGGAGGGAGGGGTTGTGAGGGGGTGATGGTAGGAGAGAGGAAGGAAGAGGGAAAGGTGAGACCTGAGCCCCAAGAGAGCCTCTCTCAGGCCTCTTCCAGGTGAAAGGCCAGAAGATGCCCCACGTGCCCTGGGCCCAGACCCCTGAACTGCACAAAATTAGCTTTCCTTAAAGGTCAAAGAATGAATGAACAGTTGCGTAGCACAACTCACCCGACTTGGGGAAACTCCTGGTCATATAAACTACCAACAGCACTGTCACTTGTTAGGAACCCCAGGACACTGAAAACGGGTGAATGGGTCATGGTTTTGCTCTCAGGAAGCCCATGACCTACTGGAACAAACGCAGATAGAAATAAGTAGGAGCCCATTCTGGGCTGGTTAGGCTGGGGAAGCCATTCTGGTGGACCTAGTGTGTGTGTGTGTGTGTGTGTGTGTGTGTGTGTGTAGCTCCTCATGGCTCGCACTTCAGATGTTATCAGGCACCTGCAATGTGAGGGTCCTGGGAGACACTGGACCAGACCTGACCCACACTGCCCTGTGGTCAGTCTGCCCCTCACCTGCCATAGTCCTCCCCAGTAACATAATCAACAGACACAAGTACTATGCCCCATCCTGTCCAGGGTGCTGGACAAACAACAGTGAACAAGACCTTTCTTTTTAGAACTCTAGGGCCAGGAAATCCTGCGGTTTTTCCACTTTTTGCTGGGCTTCCAGGCTGAAGAGTCGTCTGCTTTGCCTTTCTGTCCCATTTTACAGGTGGGAAAAAAGGCTCAGACCAGAGACTAATCCCAGATCACGGCAAATTGTAATTGCCCAAGGCCTAGGACACAGAATGCCCAGGACTGTCCGTAAGGATGCTCAGAGGAGCTCCTATCTGGGTGTAGTACCTGGTGTCCTCTGCCTACCCAGTGTGTGTCACCCCAGTGAGATGCTGCCTGGAAATAGGCATGGCAGGCTGGGTCCCTAGTGCCTTGGGAGCTTGTCTTATCTCTTGTCCCTTACCGAGCCCAGGGGCTGGGCCTTCCTCTCAGCCTCTGGGGGCATCTGCCGATTCTGTTCTGCCTCGTCATCCAGCCAGCCAGGGAGGAGGGGTGGGGAGAGCCCTGCCAGGCGTCCCTTCCTAGGGCTATAGCCAGTTCAGGCCTCAAGCCTGCTGAGGGCATTGCCTTGCCTGGCCACACGGTGTGGGCATCTTTGTCAAGGTTGTTGGACCCTAAGCAAGGTGCAAGATTGTATAGCCAGATGGGTCTGATGCCTACATTAGGGAATCCTTATCCTGGCTGGTTCTGCCCCTCCCATCTTCATGGCTCTAGGCAAGTCTCTTTTTCCTCAACTTCACTATCCTTTTTTGTGGAATGGTTGGGTGGGATTAGAAAGACTAAAGGATATTCTGATTGGCATTGAGTTCTGAACCCAGACCCATGGAAGAGCTATGCTAGCTGACAGCTTGGGTCTAGGATCCAGGATCTTTGACAGCTTCCCAAATGATCTGAGTGACCTAAGTCGTTTGGGAAACCCTTGTCATATGTATACAATTGGCACTTAATAAATACCAGGCATATTTGAAGTGGGAAAGGAACTTGAGTTGTGGGAGCTGTATTCAAATCCTGCCACCATCACCTTCTGGCTCTGGGATCTTGGTCAAACTGTTTCTTTACTCAGAATGTATTTTCTCATGAAATTGGGCCCAATTTGGTAGGACTGCTGTGAGGGTGAAGTGGAACAACACTGGGGGTGTGAGCTTTCCCTTGTATTGCCTTCCTTTTCCAGGTGCCCATAAGCATTGGGAGAGTTCTAGGTAGGGTGGAGAGGAGCCCTGTGGAGTCCTCTGTCAGTTTCAGGACAGGATATTTGCATGTGACTCTTTTCTGCTGCCTTGATGTGGCTGGGAGGAGGGGGAGGAGGAAGTAACTAGTGGGGGAAGCAGGACGATGGAGGGTTGGGTGAGGGACCCGTGGGGGTGGGGGAGGAGTTCCCCTTCTGGGGAGACCTTGCCCTGGGTTAGGGGTGGAGGCTTATTGCTCACTCACAGTGAAGCAATGACTGTGGGGTACAAATGCAGGCTGCAGAAGGGCCACCATCAGGTTTCTCAAGGGGCCCCTGCAACACTTCCTCCTCCAGGCAGCTTCAGTGAGGGAACCCATTGAGGGACTCAGCCCCGCTCCCCCCTCCCCCAAGGCAGCTCCTCCACCTATACCCACCTCCATCCAGGCTAGATGGAGATAGGGATGGGGTACCTGAAGGGAAACTGAGGTTAGAAAAGGCAAGTGGTTACTAAGGTTGCCACTAAGTTGTTGGACCTGGGCCCACTACTTGCTATAGCCTCCTGAGTGCTGGACACAGACTCCTGACCACTCTCATAATACCTCTAAAGGTAGCTTTGGACTTGAAAGACACAAAGAGAAATTGAGGGTCATCGAGTGCAAGTGATGGGCCAAGTGTGAATTGGAGATCCATTCCCAAGTCTGAGAGCTAAGACTCAGGCCCCTCCCGCCTTTCTCAACCTGACAGCCCACAGGCCACATCTGGCGGCTCTCTGACATGTTTTATTTATTTGGCTGCAGCAGTTTTTTTATTTTGTTTTGGGTACCAGGGATTGGACTCAGGGACGCTTAACCACTGAACCACATCCACAGGCCTATTTATTTTTTATTTTGAGACAGGGTCTTGCTAAGTTGCTTAGTGCTTTGCTAAGTTGCTGAGGTTGACCTTGAATTTGTGATCCTACTGTGTCAGCCTCCCAAATTGCTGGGATTATAGGCGTGTACCATCCCACCCGGTTTCCCCGCCCCTCTCAATTTTTAATCAATGGAACCAGCATTTCATGTATTAGTCTAGATTTCTAGCTGCTTTTGAAAATTCAGAAGAACTGGCCAGAGTGGGCCAGTATTCTGTCTGGCAATGACCAATAAATCATCTGTAGTTGTGTTATAGCTGCCCATGGTGGAAGGGGCATTCCCTGGTGCCTCTTCCAATATGAGTAGCTACAACATCACACTCCCCACCACTCTCTATTGCCTCACATCTGGCCCACATTTTCCCTACCTGTTGGGTTCTGAAGGCATTTCAGCTGCTACTGGGATGTCAGCAGCTATAGACAGGAGATCAGCTAGGTAAAACGAGGCAAGCATCAGGACCGGGAAAGCCCCTGTGTGCAAGGCAGGAGAGGGGGAATCCTGAGTGCCAGCCCTCATGCTGCCACCTTGCTTATGGGCAGAGAAAAGCACAAAGGATAAAACTCTGATGCTCTCCTGATAAAGGCCTGTGAGCTTCTCTGGTAGCACAGGCTGCTGTCTATCCTTGGCATCTCTCAAGCTTGTCCCACATGACCTGGAATTATTCTCTTATGGGCTTTGGCTTCCCATCATTCTGACACCCTTCTCTAATTTCTTCACCTGGGAAACTCCTACAGACCGGCTGGGGAAAACAACTGAAGCTGAGCTCCTTGCTGGTGTGGTCTCGTTGCCCCTCTTGGCTCTCCCAGCCTCTAACTGGAGGGCCCAGGAGGACCATGTGTGTTTTGGAACATAGCAAGGGCATGCTAGAGTGTGAGGAGGAAGGTCTCCCAGGCAGCCTGTGCCCTGAAGGCCTCGGGACCACTTTGGTGATTGAGTGGAGGCGTACTGGCAGCCTGACTCAAATGAGACCCAGCTTCTGATTGCTTCTATAGGTGGTGGTGGAAATCGAAAAGGCAAGAGCAAGAAATGGCGGCAGATGCTTCAGTTCCCCCACATCAGCCAGTGTGAAGAGCTTCGGCTCAGCCTCGGTGAGGCCCGGGTGGACTGGGGGCTGCTGGAATGCAGGGGACCAGTAATGCTAGTGGAGCCTCCTCTGAGACTTTGCCCTACAGCATAGCGGCAAAGTTAGGGGGTCCAGGGACCAGAAAGGTTGAGGCTGCATCACCCAGTCCAGTTTCAGTTCCTGGGCTTGAGATGGGTGAAGGGCAGAGGGAGAACAGAGACTGACTAGGGTTGGTTGAAGTGGGTGTGGAGAGGAGGGCAAGGGCAGATCGGGTGCAATCTGAGAGAAACCAAGGAAGTGCCAGTCCAGGGGAGCAGGGCCCACAAGTCCAGAGGGAATAGTTCCCAGGTTGACTGGGTTAGGAGCCCAGGCCTGTGCTCATTAGCGCCACCTAGCCAGCCCTGGGGGATGCCCAGCAATGCCATGCAGTGTGACAGGGTTACTTCTGCAAGGGGACAGAAGGACCTAGGACTCCAGTTCCTGCTTATCTTGCTGGAGGCCCCAGGTCTAAGCAGCACCTATGATTTGCCCAGCTCCTCTGATATCCCACATGTGGGCTAAGAGTGGGCCATGGTTGCTTCCACTGCCTGGGAAGGAGGCCCAGCTGAGTGTGCAGGAAGCCACAGCTTCCTCTCGCACTTTCGCCAGGCAGGCAACAGGTGTGGGCTTGGCCCAGCTGGGGCCGGAACTTCACAGACCGCACCCAGCCCCAGCACTGTGACATATACAAGTTGTGTGAACCAGGAGAATTACAGGGGGAAGGAGAGGAGGCCTGGACTCCGGAGCTCAGACTCCTGGCTGTGTGACATTGAGCTAATCAGTTAACCTCTCTATGCCTCCCAGTCCCAAGTATGTTGAAATAGCAATAGTGTCCACCTCAGGGTTGTGGTAAGGTTTCTAAAGGAGATAATGGCTGCCACACTGGAGGGCTAGAAGCTGTTGTTGGGGCCCAGGGCCTGGCAGTATGGGCAGGAGCATCCTGCCAGTGAGCTCCAGGTCTGTGACCCCAGCAGCTCCCATCTCGGCCTGCAGAGCGTGACTACCACAGCCTGTGTGAGCGGCAGCCCATCGGGCGCCTGCTGTTCCGTGAGTTCTGCGCCACGAGGCCTGAGCTGACCCGCTGCACTGCCTTCCTGGATGGGGTGGTGAGTGCAGCCTACCCTGGGGCCCAGCCCAACTGTGAGGGCAGATGGAGGTCCCAGCCACTGTCCTATTTCCTCACACCTATTGCTCCACTCAAACCCCAAGCTGCCCTACCTTCTACCCTGTAGGCTGAGTACGAAGTGACCCCTGACGAGAAGCGGAAGGCATGTGGGCGGCGGCTAATGCAGAATTTTCTGAGCCACACGGTGAGTGAACAGTGATGGAGAGATGACGGCGGCTGGCAGGGCTCAGTGACAACAGGGAGAGGAGTGACCACAGCCTGGGCAGTGAGTGCCTTGGAGCTGCTCCAGACAACACTGTGGGCATGGAGCCCAGGGAGTGGGCCAGGGCCAGACCCAGGCCAGGCAGGCTGCCAGCACTTCTCCCTTACCCAGCCTCGAGGGGAGTAACCAGAAGAGAGTCCAGCAACCCGAGACCAGCTAGTGTACCACCCGACTGCTGCTATCCCTAGTGCTGGCAGAGATGCCTGGCTCTGCCCCGGGAGTGAGCAGCCATCCAACGGAGCCCCCTGCACTGACCTGTCCTGGCCTGTCCCCAGGGTCCTGACCTCATCCCTGAGGTTCCTCGGCAGCTGGTTACTAACTGCGCCCAGCGGCTGGAGCAGGGGCCCTGCAAAGACCTCTTCCAGGAGCTGACCCGGTAAGCCACGCTGCCCTCAAGCTTGAAACTGTGTCCCAAAGAGGGGGCTTCTGTGTGCCCAGAGGACTGGCCTTGACCTTGGTAGTTCGTAGTATCCTTAGTTTCAGCACAGGATGAACATGTCTCTCCTCAGTGGGTTGGCGGGAGGGTTGGCCAAGGATAAGGCTTTGTGGGCTGAACATGCACATCACAGGAGGCCTGGGCCATCAAGCTGAGAATCTGGGGTGTCAGGCTTTGGGTTGGTCCTTCCAACAGGCTGACCCACGAGTACCTGAGCATGGCCCCTTTTGCCGACTACCTCGACAGCATCTACTTCAACCGATTCCTGCAGTGGAAGTGGCTGGAAAGGTGAGTTCCTCCCAAGTTGGGCAGGGACAGGCCAGGTTGTGGAGATGCTTCATGGGCCTTTGCTCCCTTATCTGTTGCCCACAGGCAGCCAGTGACCAAAAACACCTTCAGGCAGTACCGAGTCCTGGGCAAAGGTGGCTTTGGGGAGGTGAGTGGCTAGGCCAGTGCCCTTGGCAGAGTACCCTAGTTCAAGCCCTATACTACCAGCAAGAGCATGACTGGCCCTCATGTCCTGCTTCTACCTGGCCACAGGTATGTGCTTGCCAGGTGCGTGCAACAGGCAAGATGTATGCCTGCAAGAAGCTGGAGAAAAAGCGGATCAAGAAGCGGAAAGGGGAGGCCATGGCACTAAATGAGAAGCAGATCCTGGAGAAAGTGAACAGTAGGTTTGTAGTAAGTACAGAAAGGAGACCTCTCCCTTCCATTTGCCATGCTGGCTCATCCTGCCCTCAACAGGCATAAAGTTCCTTGCCTCTAACAAAGGGACTACCCTCTCCCTGCCCTGCCCCCTCTGATAACACCACCTCGCTCTGGGCGATGCCAAAAGAGTATTGACAGGCCAGAGTATCCTAAGGAGTGACACTCAGAAGGATATTTTGGGCAACTGGCATTAGCCTGGCCCTTGGGTGCCCCACAGATCCTACCTGAGGTTTCGGGTCCCCTGGCCACAGGTGAGCTTAGCCTATGCCTATGAGACCAAGGACGCACTGTGCCTCGTGCTGACACTGATGAATGGAGGCGACCTCAAGTTCCACATCTACCACATGGGCCAGGCTGGCTTTCCTGAAGCACGAGCTGTCTTCTACGCTGCTGAGATCTGCTGTGGCCTAGAGGACCTGCACCGGGAGCGGATTGTGTACAGGTGGGGAGGAGCTGCCTCAGGCAGTGGTGCCGGGGCTTGGCCCTTCCCAGCAAGGGGCTGCAGCTGGGTACAGTTGAAGGTAGGGGCGCTGAGGCTGTGGATCGGGCCAGGCAGTAGAAGGATGTTGGTGTGCTAGGGCTGCAACCACACACGACCTGGGCCAGCTCTGGGCCCAGCACTCTCCTTACACTGAATGGACTTGAGTGGCTCAGACTTAGGTTTTGGGGGCTGGCTGACTCACTTGCGAATCTTGATTTTGACAGACTTCTTTGTGTGGCCTTGAGTCAGTGAGCTCTTTGCTCCCTACACTATTCCTTTGGAAATGGCAGACTGCCATTCCTAACTCACAGGCTGGCCCAGTAGTAGAGAGCTCTGTTATTATAGTTGTTGCTGATGAGTTCATTTGAGCCTCCTAACGTCCCATGAGGGGATGGATAGGTAGCCCCATCTGACAAAGGAAAGGTAGAGTCAGCCACAAACAGGAGGGAGCTCCTTGACACCAGCTGTGAACGAGACTGCTGGTGGTGTCTATGGAGTCCCCCACTCGGGGCTGCCTTTTACTTGCCTACAAAGTTTCTTGGAGTCCTAGCTTGGTAGAGCCTTCATCTGTTCTCCTGAGTCAGGGCTACTACAGGAGGTCAGGGACAGGGCTCCCTCTTACCCTGACACCAAATAGGTCCAAAACATTGCTCCACATCTAATCCTAGGGGCCAAGTGAGCTAGAAGGGACTGGCCCTGTGTGGCTTTCTAACAACCTAAGTAGCACCTGACCCTGCTCTTCTCTTCCCACAGGGACCTGAAGCCAGAGAACATCCTACTGGATGACCATGGTGGGTGGGGCAGCACAGAGGTGGGGTGGGGTGGGGTGGGGTGGGAAGGCCTGGCCTATTAACAGGCCTTCCTACTTCTCCCCACCCCCATTCAGGCCACATCCGCATCTCTGACCTGGGACTGGCTGTGCATGTACCAGAAGGCCAGACCATCAAAGGCCGGGTGGGCACCGTGGGCTACATGGGTGAGTCTCCCTGTGCCCCATCACACCAACCTCCTGGGTTCCCTCAGTGTCCTGGGTCTAGCCCACCCACTCCTGTATGGAGGACTCTTGTGCCTTAGGGAGTAGAGAGCCCACATTGGTGTTCTTCTTTTGTAGATGAGGAGACCAAGACCCAGCCAGAGTCTCACATTGTGAATCAATATCATTCATTCCCTAAATACTTATGAAGCACTACTCTTGGCTTGATCTGCAGGTGGCTACCAGGGAAGAGGGCGAAGAGAATCGAATCTGTTGCCCTCCCTTGAGTTGCCCATGCTTGGAGTAGGCATCCCTATCTGTGGTACAGACCAGTGTAGGGCCCAAAATGTGACCCCACAGTGGACATAGTCCGGGCTCTACAGGCTCCACCCCTTGCCTGTCCTGTGCCCTTGGGCTATGCGGTCCACTTCTCCTGCCTCTCTTCTACTGCAAAAGGATTATCTGTACTGCCTCCCGGTAGCCTTGAGATGAAAAGAGATAGTAAGTGGAGGGGAACTCCCAGGTACCTTCCCGGGCTGTTTGAAGGGATCAGCAAGTAGGAGTTTCTGCCCTCTCTCTTTTCTCCCTTAGGAAATCCAGAAGCTGCAAGCCAATAGCTACATGGGCCCCATTTGTCATATTTGTATTGAAGTCAAATTGTTTTTAAAACAATTCTAATTGGTTGCCAACATTTCATAAGCCAAACAGCTTCATATAAAAATGATTTCTGGGCTGGGTTTGTAGCTCAGTGGTAGAATACTTGCTGAGCATATGGAAGACCCTGGGTTTGATTCCTAGCACCACAAAGAAAAAAACAAAACAAGACCTTGGGATCCTGGGTGCCTCTGCAGGGCCACATCAACTTCCTTTGATGGGTTGTGTGTTCTATACTCGCCAAGGTCACTATCAAGTTGATATTGCCTGCTTGGCTAGTGGGTATTTGAGTTGATCCCCCAATTTCATGGGCATTCCTGGGGCCTGAAGGGTCTGTTCCCTGCCACCTACCCAGCCCTGGCTCCTGTGCCCCTTGCCCAGCTCCAGAGGTGGTAAAGAATGAGCGGTACACATTCAGCCCTGACTGGTGGGCATTAGGCTGCCTCCTGTATGAGATGATCGCAGGCCAGTCGCCCTTCCAGCAAAGGAAAAAGAAGATCAAGCGGGAGGAGGTGGAACGGCTGGTGAAGGAAGTGCCTGAGGAGTATTCTGAGCGCTTTTCCCCGCAGGCCCGCTCACTCTGCTCCCAGGTACTGCAGCAAGGGGGAGGCCTGACTGACCAGGGCTGGAGTTGGGGCACCTCACCAACCTGCCCACCCAAGGGCACCCTGACCATCCCTGCCCTGCCATAGCTTCTCTGCAAAGACCCTGCGGAGCGCCTAGGGTGTCGTGGGGGTGGCGCTCGAGAGGTGAAGGAGCACCCCCTTTTCAAGAAACTGAACTTCAAGCGGCTGGGAGCTGGCATGCTGGAACCGCCCTTTAAGCCTGATGTGAGTGCCTCCCATTCCTGCTGAGGGCAGGGCCAAGTAGGGCTGGGGCTGGGGTCCCGTGGAGTAGTGGTCAAAACATCTGCAGTGCAGATGTTGGAAAATCCAATCTTATGACTTAGCTAAGTATACATACACACACACTTCACTCGATTCATAAGAATGGAAAAACCGCAGGATAGGTTTGGCTTTTGGTATATCTGGATGGAGGGATGAAGGTGGGGTGACTCCAGTAGTACTGAAGGAATTCATTTTTCTCCCTTCACAATGTACTGTTGATTATATAGTCTTCACTGTCAGGTGGCTCTCCCCAGGGCGTGGCAAGAGTGACCTCCAGCAGTTCAGCCCCACATCCTTCCAGTTCAGTCTTCCCCATAGATAGAATTTCTTGCCTAGAAATTTCAAAAGAAATACCAAAGTGGAAAAATCCTCAGGCTGATGTTCATTGCCTCTGATGGCTCAGAGAACCCTCACTGATCATCCCTGGATCACATACCCAGTTGGACCACTGAGTGGGAGTGATCCATCTCCCAAAGGAAAACCCAGATGGAGGTGCCAGTGGGTGGATTTATTAAGTATCTCGTGGGTCAAGCACCCTGCAAGCAAAAATATCTTCTAGTCATCAGATTCCAAGTGGCAGAAGCCCAATGCAAACTTACTTAAGTCTAACAAGGAGTTTATTGGTTCCTTTGGCAAGAAAGTTCCTGAGTAGGGTCAACACCAGGGTTTCATGCTATGTTGCCAACTCTCCATCCCTTGGCTCTACTTCAACCTGTTGACTATATCCCTCTCTCTGAATTCAGGCTACTTTGTGTGTAATATTACAGGAAAGGTTCTGATTGGCCAGGATTAGGGCATGTGTTTGCTCTATAAAGATTGGGTCCTGTGGGGCTGGGGTTGTGGCTCAGTGGTAGAGCATTTGCCTGGCATGTGTGAGACCCTGGGTTCAATCCTCAGCACCACATAAAAATAAATAAATAAACAAA